TAGAGACTGGTACGGCCCTGGGATCTGCCACACCCAACACCCACAGCTTCTGCCAGATGTCTCCCAGAGTTTTGCGGTGTTAACCCCTTCAGGAGCAACCGAGGGCTTTGTGCTGAACCTTTTCTAAGGAACTGCTCTTTCCTTTTTTTTGTAGAAAGAGAGAAAAATACAACATACCCTTAACCCAGAAAGTTTGGACTAACTAAAAGATAGTGGGCTATCAGTGACAATTAGCAAATCTGTCCTTTTATTTCCTTAAAAACAGGAATTAGAAGTTAAGAGTTAGCACTGTACAACATTCTTTCTCTCACACCATGCTGTGGTCCCATGTGTTTATCTTAAAATTTCTAAACAGTTTTATGTTCACCTCTTCAGACGTAGGACTCTGCTTTACCTTCTTGGAATCAGAATGCCCATTAACTGCCCTTCAGCCAAACAGACTATTCAGGCCTTAAATCAACAGGATTTCTAATCCAAAATCCGTATGATAAACTCCACAACTGCTTCTCTGGGTTTGATCTGCCCCAGGGACATAAATTTGCATGCAATTTCTAAGGTTGTGAATAGTCCCTGGGCTTAAAGTTGCACATATGCTTAAGTACTTGGTTCGGTCTGGGTCTAAACCAGCTATTTGAAAATGAAAACAGAAGCCATGCAAAGAATAACATAGTTAAAAATAATTTTCCTCTGTAAATATTGTATCAAAGGAAGAAAAATGTAACAAAATAAACATACTGAGTCTTAAAAGCACTACTGACCCAAGAGCAGGTAGACAGCAGCCTAAAAGTCATCAGCAAATACCAATGCATGCCACTTCACATAAAAGGGAAGAGTCAAATTTATTTAAAAATAATAATAAATGGGAACTGTATCCAAAATTACTTGTACACTATTGCAGGTAAAAGTATCTGTGGATATAAACAGCAAGCAACTGGTCACAGCTTTCAGAGTAAGATTGGCCCTTATTCTTCACCAAGTTTATTCTGTGGATTTGAAAGCAGCTATCTAGACAATTTCATTTGTCTCTCCTGTGCAAAATGTGTTCACGTCTCCAGTTTCTGTGTGGCTTTTCACAAAAAGGTAACCCAGCAAAAAATAATGCAAGGCTAGCACTACTGACGAGGGTACTCATGAGGGTACTCATGAGTACTGTACTTCCTAAAACTGCTTCTGATTTGCTTTCCAATGGTTTAGGATTCAAGTTGAGCATCAGTATTTCTTTAAGTATCTTACAGAATGAAGAAACTACATTACAGTAATATAGTTATTTCAGCTCTTGTTGAAAACAAATGCACAATAATCAGGGTTGAACTTAGGCAGAAAAAAAATAACATGCCTGCAACTATGTTTCATTTGGTGAACATGGCACTAAAGTAACTATCCATAGTTCACAAGAAACAAACTCAAATACACTTTTTATAATTTAAAAGAGTTGCTCATAAATATCAACACTGATGGGCTAAGGATTTGTTCTCATTTACAAACTTTTCAAGACAGAGAATTAACATTTCTTCTTGAGAAGGATTTTTCCCTCCAGTTTGTTCTTTATACATGTGTTCTATGAGTTAAAGGGTTAAGTAACCATTATATTCTAAAGAGCAAACTGTTTGCCTTAGGGCCATCTCCTCCTTACTCCTGATGAATTGCCTGACACTCCACATATCATACATTACTTTTCACTAGGAAGCAGCATTTGGTTCCAGTCATGGTGTAAGAACTGACTTTGGAAGTATGAAGCAATATGGGAAAGACCAAAAAAACTGAAGTACATCATCTACTAAACAGTCTGCACTTAAATAGTGATGCATAAATTTATAAATATGTTTGTTTGTACTCACAAAAGGGGCAAGAAATATATAAAAGGAAATTTTATGCATATTAAAATGAATAGAAGACCAACTGTGAGAATCAATATTCTGAGTGACACTTTTCTGGACTAGAATGAAAGAAATGCTAATGTTCCTGAGGGCTTTGCACCAGAAGTATTGGATGTAGGCTGAACACATGCACCTAAACCCCTGGCTCAACTCCCTCTGTGATCTTTGAAAAACCTGACTGTAAGACACTGGGGGTTTCATGTGCAGCTCCCACTGTCAGTGCTTCACACCTCTGAGTGATCAGTGGTGTGATCATGGACCTCCCTCTCTTCTGTGGATAGGAAAAGGAATGTTTCCTCACCACAATGGTACAGCAAGGGTGAATTCATACACATTTATGAAGCAGCAGAGACTGGAGAAGCCCTAGACTGCAGGGTATGCAAGGACTGAACATAAATTTTAATCAAAATACTACTGTTAGATGAAGGAAGTGGCCAGTCTAACAACAGGTACCAAAACAGAGAGGAGAGCGAATGCCTGTTCTGAATACACTGCATTCAAAACATCTGGATGGTGTAGAAGAAAAATAAAATTGGTTCTGCAAATTCCCCCCCTCTAGAGAAAGAAGCATGCTTAGGTGACAGATCTGAGGGGAGATGGGAAGGACAGGAATAGATGGGGGCCAATGCAGAAGGGTACAGAGATCGGGAATGGAGACTTAGCAAACAGCTACAAAATCCATTTACAAAACAAAAGTCTGATCCCTCTCCAGTTGCTTACTTAACAGTATGTTTAATGTTATCAATAAGCCCAGCGAGGTAAAGATTCAATGTGTGAAGTCCCTTTGACAGGCTCTGCCCTTTGAATCCTGTCGTATTGCCATGATCATGGCTCTCTGAGTTTCACTGCAGTTTTTTGCTTAAATGATAAATAACCTTAAAATACATGTTGAAAAAAACCCCAAAACCAGGCTGCAAAGTTGGATAAGAAATGCCAAAGGGCTTGCAGGTATGTGTGCACCACAGTTCAGTTTTATGTCTTACAGTATGACTATCCAATTATTTCATTAAAGAGGACAAAAGGCACAGCAAAGATCCCCAATAAGTCAGCATTATCCTTTACGTGTGCTGAGTGAACCATGTGCCTGGAAGGCACATAATTAGAAATAATTAAATGAATACCATAATATAGAGGGTGATGGACTCAGATTGTCCAGGCAAACACAATTTCTAATATAACAACATGGCTTTGCAGACTTTTCTTTTTCTTTTCCCTTCCCTCAAACGCACAACTTTCTGCATTAGCAAAATAGTAACATATTTGGGATGGTCTCTGGCATTCACAAAATGTTCAAAACTTATATCCAGTCTTCTTTCCCACCTAAGAATTCCCTTCATTGAAGACTTCCAAAGCTGCCTTTGGCATCTTGACTTTGAACAATGGACTTCCGTGATTTATCTATCATAGGTTCTCCAGCTCTAAGTTTGCACACGTAGATGAACGACTGCTGTGTTAGCTAAAATCCTTAAATCCTGCACATTTGTATTTTTGGTTTGCTATCCCAAATAAAATTAATATCAGTACCATTTATCTAATTACAATGGCTTAAAAATAGTTGAAAGGATGAAAAAAACTAGAATGAGAATAGGGACAGTCAGTCACTCAATAGCTGAGGAAGTATCTTTTATTCACATGAGACCGTAAGAGTCAGAGGATTGATTTTTTTTTCTGTTCTTGTTGTTGCCTTTTTTTTTAATAGAAGTATCCCTGAGATTAAAAAACATTTGCTATTTCAAAACTGCCTTTCAAAGCAGACATACAGCAACTGAAAAAATGACCAACTGAAGCACACATCAAATGAAATGATGTAATTAAGATGATCTATTTCACAGATAAGCCGTTCAATTTTTGAAGGTAACACGTGCTGATTTGGCTACAAGAAGAACCGCAAGAAGTGTTCCAGGAACAGATATATTAGGATGTAAAGGGGAAAAAAAGGGATTAAAGTATTGCTGCACTTTCCTTGAGAGTTGCCTTTTTGGTTTGTAGAGATCTTTGTAGAAGAGCATAAGTGACATTCACCTATGAGTAATAAACACAGTCAGAAAGTTTGCTCAGGAGAGCTCAACCAGGTTCCAGATTCTTGGTAGTTGAGAAAGAAAAGGCACTCCCAAAACACAAGATATGATATTTGAATGCAGGAGGAAAGCAACCTTAGACGTTAACTCATAACACAAAAAAACAGTGCTTGTGTAACTCATTGAAAACTCCAGTGCCAAAGCTAAATCTGAGAATTTACCTTAACTAGCAGAACGAGTAAAATGAAACTAGAGGGCCTTCCAGAAGGCATCTGATAGCAAGCCTGTAATATTGCCGCCAATTTGTTAGTGATTTCGTGTATACAAATGTATATTTCAATAGCTTCCTATGACCACAGAAACACTTCCCTTACTGCTATCAAAGGCTTTACAAGGTAGCAATTAACCACCATCTAAATGCGCAACGCCTAAGCGTGCTAATAGAAAGGGCAAAGAACCGTGTCCTCTGGCAGTTACAAAATAGTAAACACACACACACAGACACACACACACACACACACACACACAAAAAGTCGTCGAAAAGTTAAGGCCCGAAGGCGGCTCGTCCCCTCCCGGGACGGGGCAGTTCCCCGTGAGGCGCTGAGGGGACGCGGCCGTGGCGGGGCCGCTCTCCCGCCCGCGCCGTTCGCGCTCCCGGGCCCGCTCCGTCCCCGCCGCCCCGTGAAGCCTTCGCGGCGCTGCCACGTGCGGCCGGCGGGGCGGCGCCGGGACAGACCCTGGGCCCGGCCCCCTCAGGAGCGCAGCCGCCGCTCGGAGCCTCCAGCGGAGCTTCCCGCCCTCCCAGCACCGCATAAGCCCGAGGTCCCGAAGCCGCCCGTGCGCCCGCCGGGAAAGTACTCACGGACTCCGAGTCCGACGGGGCCACGAAGCATCCGACGCACGGGTCAGTCATGAGGCGGCCCGAGGCGGCGGCAGCGCCCGCCCTGCTCGCAGAGGGAGTGGTGCTGTCCCCCCGTTATTTAACGGCCGCCGCCCCGCGCCGGGGGCGGATGACAGGCGGGTTTTGTCACCTGCCACCCCGCGGGCCGCCCCCGCCCCGCCCGCCGCACCTGGGCGCGCTTTGCAGCCCCCTGAGCTTGGGCCACAGCGCCGGGTGGCGGCCGCTCGGCCACGAGCTGCCCCTCGGCCGGGCCCGGGGGTGCCTTCGCCAGGCTCTGGGAGCCACTTCGGACTTGGAGGCTCCAGGCTTGGAGAAGGCCACGGCTCGGCTGCGATGGGGAGCGAAGTCTCTGGCGGGGAATGGTACCTGGGGGGCGGCTCCGCAGAGCCCCGCGCCCACTGAGGGAACGTGCTCGGGCCCCTCCGGTAAGGGGTGGCCTTTGCTGTCAGTGCATCTGCATAGGAAGATTTTAGTGAAAAGTCTGAATTGGACTTCTGAGACGGTGTAAAGTGGAAGTGATGCCACAGCAGTGTAAAACTTGGGCAAGTGACAAGACAATTAACCTTTTCCTTCTCTTTTTCTAGAGGCTTCCACAGCTAAGAGGAGCCACCAGTGTTGTGAGAAACAGAAAATGGAGTTGTTGTCTGAATTCCGTTATCTTCTCAAGAAGATACACTTATTTAGAAATAGTGACTCAAAGGTATGGATCCTATGGATCAGGATACATATAAAAAAAGAGACTGTTGCATATTCATCGTGTGGCATATACAGAATATATTTGTCTATACTATATACACAAAACATAGGGAAAAAAATAACTTAGCACCTTTTTGCCAAAATAACTAGTATCTTTTTAACTAGGATAAAAAGTTAAGTTATACAGTTCTGGAAGATCAGTGTGAACAGATGTGGTTACACCTTTACAATTCTATTATATATTAAATAATATGTACTTCATAAGGACCACTGTATATTATTTTGTATAGCAACATAAAAATATAGTTGCAAAAAAAATGTGGGAAATACACATCAGAAAAAGTCTCTGAAGTTGATCTTTTGTAAACGTGTAGCATATTACCAAAATAGTGAAGTTCATTAAGCCATAGTGTTTCTTCTTCAAGTAAACAGGTCTTTTCATACTCAGAAGGTTTAACATGCATGTGAATAACAGAGATCTTGCATACAACTCATTTTACACACAACTCTCCTGTTTTATGTCATGATCATCGTGATTTTGAAACAGAATCAAAGAATTTTCAATTCTATAAACAGGAGTTTAAAGACTCGTTATTTTCTTCTTTCAAACGTGTCAATGCTCTAAAAGCATAGTGCTGAAAGGCTGCCAAGCTAATAGGCCAGTGAGCACTAGGAAGAGATTAATTTTGTACCTGGAATGAGTGTATACAGTTTCCATTCCATTTAGCGAAAGGGCTGGAATGTGAACTAGTGTTTCCTTTATGGTGCAGTGTTATGTTAAACCCTGGGGTAAAGAGTCAGCCTCTACAACAGAGAGAGTCTGAATTCAGGACTGGGACCGCCTATGGATGTTAGTCCACAAAAAAAGTAAATGAATATGGGATGTTTGAGATGCATACTTGCATTTTTTTCCCCAGTGTTTTGTAGAATGCTCATACTCCAAAATCAGTGTGAATATTTGGGAATGCAAATATGTTATGAGCACTTCTGTTTACTTTGAAACATGCATATATTAAAATGGAGAGGTGTGTCCTAGCAACCACGATCTCCTCACTGGAGAGCTCTCTCTGAGGTGTAGCCAGAGCTGTAATCTCCAGGTGTGTTCTTTCTAGTTATCAAAGGAACCTGATCAATAAAAAGAGACAGAGTGAAGCCAAGGCAATGGATCTACTTCTACAAGCTTGGTTAGCCAGAATTGATTAGTAGAGGATACTCAGAGTTCCAGACCAGTTTTGGAAACTTTCTTTAAAGGTTTTCAAAAAAGTTGTATTGAACTGGCTTTTGTTTTCCCGTTGCTCAGGGTTGACAGTTCAGAACCCCAGGAATGGATTTCTGAACCCCCTCCAAACAAACAAACAAACGAAAATCAACAAACCATGTTGTGATTCTTAATCACATTAAGGTATTTGGTTCAATACATTGGGTTGTACTACTAGGATCCATATAGTGGATCATCCTGGCATTGTTCAAATTTTGTCATTCATTAGGAAGAAATGTAAGAAGAATGTGAGGGTGATATCTCTCCCATAACTTTTCTAGGGCAGCTGGAAAAGAAGGCAAGCAATTCTGGCTTGAAGGAGTTCAGTCTAGCTAACTGAGTGGGAAGAACAATGCTGAAGGAGGAATTTTTTCCTAAGGAGAACTGTGAGTAAATTGTATTCCTGAAAAATTATCGCTTCCTAACTGATGTTATTGGGCAGAAGTAAATGGTGTAGGACATTCTGAATATTTGGAACGTTAAAGAATTTTCAGAAAGAGCAAAAGCATTACACGAGTTGTTCTTTTATGCTGCATGTCATTCAGGGTTGCTATTCCAGACAGAAACATACTGAAGTAGGTGACCACACCTCAAATTTTTGTGAGAAGATGCACTGAGTCATCCATTTTGTCCAAGATAATATCCACAGGCAGCAGTTACAGCTGTTGATATAACATGGTCATACACCCAGAGATTTGCACAAGTAAATGAATTGACTGTTAAATCAGTAATTGATAAGCCAGGGAAAGCCCATTTAAAAGTATTTGAGAGAATGGCTGGGCCTAGTGGAGTGCTTAACATAACACTCAATTTCAAATACATAACCAAACTTCTGGGTTCATTTTTATATTTGGCTGAGAAAGAAATGTGAGGAACCGTACTCATAAAACATTTTGTTGAGAATCACTTGGAATTTTTTCATTCGTATTACACAATACTAACTACAAACCTGGATAGAGTATTCTTTTTTTTTTTCCAGGATCTTTGAACCTTAAGTAAGACTAAATACAACTTTGAAGTAAAACCACATAGACCTATGAAACTTAAGGCCAGAGGTTTCATTAGCTTATATTGTTCCAACTTCAACCAAGATCATTGCCTTTTATTCTCACTCTTGCGTGTAATCCATTAATACACTGCCACTGCAGACCCCAGCAGCCAAGGAGATGTTCTGGACCCCGGATCAGATTATTTTCTGATTCTCTTCATCCTCAGGTTGTTTTCTGTTCTTCAGCTGTGATGACTTCATCATAGTCACTCAGATGCTTCTACGTACTACATATGGGAGAAGCAACATTTGCCCGTAATTTGTTTAGAACTGTGTTAGAAAAAAGGGTTGTACTTACCCAAAGAATAAAAGGAACAGGGGTAGTTCTGTTGTGAATCAGTTAGCTTTGTCATGTAATAATTACTGTATTGTAACCTTATAATAAACTTTAGCCATAGCATTTGATAAACAAAACTTGTAAATTATATGCATTCTAAAATCTTTGGAAAATGTGTTTAAGAAGAATGATGGTTCTAACCACTGGGAAAAAAAAATCAAGTGATCCATACCAGCTGCACATTTTTGCTGAGCCACTGAAGAGTCTCCCTGCATGAATCTTTGGTAGAGGCAGGATTTTTATCATGTGTCAGTATATAAATTCAATAGAATGAACAGCATCTTTTTCTTTTTCTTTAGTAAAATATTTGACTAATGCCACGGTGACCTCATACAGCTATGTTTTAAGCTTTTGGCATTTTGGCTCACCACAGCTTGTAGATAAGAAGGATACATGTCCGGCTGTAAAGAAATAAACAATCTAATCATACTGCTGAAAATGATATGGTGCTGTTTCACCTCTGGTTCTTCTTGTTTCCTCCTGTACCTTTATTACAGGGTGAATGTGCAAGGTTATGTTATCATTCAACCAGACAACGGGTCAGTAATGCCATGCCAGCTACAGAGGCTCTGTCTGAAACCAGCTGAGAGACTCTTCTCTCTGTGGGGCCATAAATATGAGTGCAATGGTGAAATCAGGAACCCTTGAAACAGCGAATTCTTGGTTTGTCACTCAGTAGTTGGCAGTTGGAATGCTGCATCATACCATGGACTATATACAGTGCAGAAAAAAAGTGGCATCACAAAGAATTCTAAGGAATGCTACTTTTTATTAAGATGTATTAATATATGCTTTTCAAAGATATTAATTTGGTTGGGGTAGTGCCAATATGTATCAATCCAGAGGAAATAGCAGGAGGCATTTTGCATGTAAGCTGCATGATCAGTTTTGTGGGCAACAGGCCTATGGCTCTGTTCCTTTCTGCTGGCCATCTCTGGAACAAGCGTAGCAAGAAAAAAGTATTCTGGAATTTTGTGTTCTTCTGGTTATATAAAACAATTGAGACTCCTTGTGGGCCCCTCTCTGCTCAGGCAGTCAGAGGGCTCCTTCAGAGCTGGCCAGTGGTCAGTGTACCTCCAGTGTTTTAAAAGAGGAAAGTAAGTTTGAGTCATCATGACATAACTCATGTAACACTTTTTGAGGCAAATGAGGACTTTTCTGACTCTATTACAGCTGCACAAGCAGTGTATGTCAAGCCCTCACAAATTATATGCTCTTCTGTATCATTATTTTCTTTCACTTTGAGATTTCTTTAATGAAGATCTTAACATGTGGAATTACAGACCAGTTAGGCTAATTTCATCAGTAGGAATGACATTTGAAAGAATTTTAACAGATTAGGAGAAGGAGTATCTAGTAAAAGCATCCTTCAGCCTGATTAGTTGTGTACACATGGTTTAGGAAAAAAAAGAAGTCATGCTTCACTAGCCTTCTGGAACTCTTTGAAGATAACACTGCCAAGATAGGGTGTAGCATGGACATTATATTTTTAGATTTTCAGAAGTCATTTGACAATGTTTTCCCCAAGAGATTAATGCTTAAAGAGAGGGGAGTTAAGGGGCAAGAGAAAAGTTTGCTCATTAAATTGAAAAGTAGCTCTAAGCAAGAACAATGAGGAGCTAAAAGTGTCATTTTTACAGACTGGGGAAGGAGAATTTGCAAGGCTGCAGCACTTCTGTGAATCGAGTTAACTTGTTTGCATAAATGGCTTGGATGGACGTGCTCTTCTGAAACTAAACCAGGCTCATTATTATTCATTTTTGCACTAAGAAGCTCTAACAGAGTTTGTGATCCCAATGTGCTGAGCACTGTGTTTGTGGAGTGTCCCAGCAGCCATCTAGACACTAGGACAGAAGGAGAAGGGAAGTGTTATTTTCCTGATTACACAGAGGAGGTTCTGAGGCCTGGACAGACTTGATCCCAGCCAGAGTAAAATCAGTGGATCTGTTGAGTGAATGTGTTTTCTTAGTCATGAGATGGGATTTCTGATTTGGAGATGATACTTCACAGGAAACAGCAGTAAATTCCAAAGAACAGTGAAGTGCTGAAAAACAAAAATTGCCAGCCCAATAAATGTGAAATGTATCTCCAAATAAATATACATTCAAACCAGAAAAGAAATGTAAACTTTATTGTAAAAGCATAACTTATGTATGTTTCAGCATAACTCTATAAGAAATGTAATTTTATTAGAAATTACTTATAAGAACATATTTAGAAGAATTATCTCTCCATGATGAAAAAAAATGAAAAAAACGGTCAACATTCCTGATTTAAATTTGCTTGGTGCAAATGTAACTTTCTAAATTAAAGCCATATCTTAATTATTTCTATATGTTACAGTAAAAGAACTAAGCAGCAAAGAGCACTTACTTTGGCCCACAGCATATAGAAATAGTACAGCAGTGACAAATTGAGTGTGAGCACTGCTATGTCTGCAACTTGGGGTTGAAATATCAAACTTTGCAAAATGTGGACATGACCACACATACCAAAAGGATGTTCCAAGATGCTCTTTCTGTGCATCCACTTCCCAGAATACTAAGCTTAAAATCTTAAGTGGTATTTCCAAAGGAATTGCCTATCCCGTAAAAAAAAGTTAAAATTCTCTTTTTGGACTAGAGATCCATCTTGCATTCCTACTTACCTTTTGCCTACTTTAAATGCCCTCTTTCAAAAAACGAGACCCTGCCCTTCTCTTTGTTTTTGAGTGCCTAAGAATCCACACTTCAGATACAAGATCCAAATTTACTCTTGCAAAGGAGACTTCATAAGACTCCAGCATAGATAATCCTGATTTACCCAGCTACAAAAGGGATCAGATTCAGATCTGTCATGTTAAAAAATGTGGCTTTTCTCTTCCCATTCTGCTTATCTTCCTCAAACTTTACTGAGAGTTCTCAGAGCTACTCAGTGCTCCTGTCTGCCTGCTCAAAGTCCCTTGCTTTGTGCATAGAGACAATTACCTGGAATGCAGCTGTGGGAACAGATTCCTGTGAGGCAAGTTAGGGTGGTAGTTTGTAGTATTTGGTACTGCATGGTTAATAATTAGGGTATATGCTCTTACATCTTGGTAAACATAAGGTGAGTTTAGGTCATTTGCTGCTCAGTGAAAGTGGGCTAATCAACCTTGTACTCGCCACAGGAACACAGTGCATGAATAGCCACCATGGGTTACATAATGCACTGTAAATTCTTACCTTCTCTTACTCCACAGCTTGTGCCTGTAAATAACTTGTTCTGGTTGCTATGTCTGACTTGTTGAATGACTGAGTGATTGTAGGAACTAATCCATGCATTACCTAAAAAAGATCTTTAGCTGGGGTTGTGCAGGCTAAGGAATTTTTATCTTAACGACAGAGGCTCTAATCCTCGTTCTTTATCCATGTGATTAATATAATTATGTATGTTTGAGACCACCATATTCTTTATGCAAGGTGACTGTGGTAGGGTCTTTTATGCTAAAGCTCCAGCATAGACCTTACTCATGCCTAGATTGGAAGTGCCACACCTCTTATATGTCATAAAGAGGTATCTAAGTTAGAAAAGCTGCTCGGTGTGCTGTTATTGCTTGTGTTATGTCCTAAAGGAACATGAGTCAATCAATAATTAAGCCACAAAGTACTGCCTGTTGACATGGCAACATGTTCATAGATGTGACGTGAACTTAATGTCCTTCTTTCATGTCTCCTGTGAAAGTAAGAGTCTCCTAAGCTCAGTAACAAAGAATTAGAGCAGATGCTGCCAGGGGAAAAGGAGAAAATACAAATAATAGAAGATTTCTTTTATAAAAATGGCTGCTTTTGAACCCTTTGTCTCTCAAATCTACCATATAAATGATCTCTCTCTTTCTTTTAGAGCAAGGACCTTTCCCTAATCAAAAATCATCAATTGCTTATTGCCAAACCCTTTTAGAAGCATGAAATGAACTTCCTTATGGATTGTTTTCATGATTGCTTCTTTCCCATGTATTTCACCCCACCCACATTTTTTAATGGAGCTGAAGTGAACACACTCTTTTAGGTTACTGCTGTTTAGGCAAGACTCTGTTTAGCTCCAAGAATAACATTAGCTGCTGCATCACAGGTTAAGGGTTGGCATGAAGGTCCAAATGTGACTTTGTCATCATTGGTTGATGCCTGTTGTTCTGAAGACGAAATAAGCACGAGTTTGTGTGACATCAACTTCCGTACACTGGGATCATTTTCGCTGGCTGGTTCTGCAGCTTCTCTGCACGTGCTCCCACTCTCACACTCTCTCTGCTTGCCAGTTACCCTCTTCTCCTCTTGGCTTGCATGTCTTTCTTCCAAGCTTTCTGCAGCAGATGGTAATGGGCCTCGCCAACACGTTTTGTTTGCCACATGTGTTGCTACCTGTGTCACAATGGGTGAGGTTCATTTTTCTTTTTTTCCAGGGCATCTTTTTACTTCTGCCTCGGTCGGTCTCTTGATCTTTCACACATTAAAAGTTTACTACACGTTTTTTCCTTTGGGAGCTTGGTGTCCTCCATGCAGAGGACATGTCCAGTCCAGCAGAACGCTTTTATAAGATTGCTTCAACACTGTTTGTGCAACCACTTTGCAGAACTTTGTTATTCATGATTTTATCTTGCCACTTGATATGCATAATAGCTTGAAGGTGCCGTTGATTAAATTTTTCCAATGCTTTGATGTACCAGTGCTAGCATTTCCATGTTTCTCAGCTCTAGAGTGAGGTAAAATGTAGAGCACTGCAGTAAAGCCAGGGTTTGGTTTAATGTCTAATAGTGTGCTAATTCCAGATTTATTGGACCTAATTCTCCATCTCAGTCCATCTAAATATACAAAAACTAATTGATGTATAAAAGCCAACTGTTTCGAAACTCACGTGAAGGAAAACATTAGATGCAGGGTTTAAAATTCTCATGTGTATTCCTTGCCCTTTAAGAAATAAGGTAACAGTTTTGATAGCTTACATTTTATAGAAGTACAGATCTCAGTTGCAGACTACTGCACAGCTGGGCAGTCTGAATGCTGGGTGGACCCTATACCCTTCAGCAAGTATCAATCCTAACCTTCCAGACAGAAGGTATGTGGAAAACTAATACCTAAATTCAGTGATAAAAAGAGACAGACAAGATTGCTGAGACAGCAGGGTGACCTCGTACTTTATGAAAAATGTCCCTTCATTTCACCTTCACTGCTTTCATTTTAATGTATTTTCTCCAGGATCCTATGTGATTCCAGATCTCTGAGCAGATGAACTTTTATTTTTAAACAAGAAATCTCGTTCTGCTTATATCACTTTTCGGATCAATTCTGGTAACAAAAGTGTATT